ATTCAATTTAGGTAGCATGGTATTTTTATTCTTTCAGAGCATTACAATTTTAACAGTTAGACCATGGCAATTTTAATTTAGATAGCAATGGCATTTCTTACTCTTTAGAGCATGACCATTTTTTGTGTCCTAACTCATGCCATTTTATAAAAAATATTTATGTTCACATGCCAAATTCATTTTGGACCCTGAAAAGTGGTGTCAATTTTTTTTCTAATTCATGGCAAAGTTTTTTTGTAGTTTTTTGCACTGTCACATGGCATTTTTGTACTGATCCATGGAAAAAAATAAAGAAAAAATGTTTTAATAAACATGTCAAGTTTTTGCACAGTGACACGGCATGAAACATTTTTTTTGTTTTGTGAAAGAAAAAACAACACAGTTTGGCCCAGTTTTCTTGATTTTGTTTTCAGTTTCAGGCCTTTTTTGTTGCTTTAAAAAAACTTTTTATTGTTGCTATAAAGCTGTGCCTTTTTTTTCCTCAGTTTTTGGCACGTGATGTGTGGTTCGCTGTGGGGATTCTTTCCAGCGAACGTAAAACGTTCGATGGTTCCCTCCTTCTGAGGAAACGATTTGTTCGCGCGAGGGGCTTCCCGCGGGAACATTCCCGAGTTAAGGCTGTGTTCGCTTCACGGGATTTTGATACTTTTCCATAGGAATGTCCGTTCCACAGTTTTATCTCCCTTGGCAGCGTTCGGATCAAAGGAAACATCTACAATATCCCTGTGGAAAGATTCTCTCACAGTCGCCATTCCAAAGGATTTTGTAAATCTGGTCTAATCTCTTTTTTGGGCGGAGGCCCGAGGCAGCCACTATGCAAGCTGAATAAAAAATTACTTCACATGGCAGTGAGTGAAGATAAACCGGCATGCAATGAATAAAATAATATACGTTCTCGCATTGCTAGTCCGAACACCTCTGTAAGGTTTTCAATGAACCGAACACCTCTTCTTTTTCTCATTCGTCTGTTTTGGGTCATGCAGGATTGCACTGTACAACCAACTCCGTTCCTGTACTTTTTTATATTCCTTAGTTTTTCTGACCTGCATACCGAACGGGCCCTAATTATTCACGTCCATCGAAAAAGCTAGCGTGTAATCCTCATCAAAAAACAAAAACTAGCGTCGAAAATAATTAAGAAGGAAAGAGAGGTTGCCGTCATCGATCGATCACGAAATTGCGGCAATCCCGCGAGGGCTTGTATCTCGGTTCGCTTGCATGCGATCGTGGCTGCCCTACGACGACGAGTACGACGCCGCCAAGGCCGGCCGGCCGGTGCCGATCGAATTGGCGATGACCACCATGGACTCCCTCAAGGACGACAACGTGGAGGAGATCCTGCTCCGCCTCCCATCGTGGGCCTCCCTCGGACACGCCGTGCGCGCCTCCGCCGCGTCGCCTCCAGCCCCGGCTTCCTCCGCTGCTTCCGCGCACGCCACGCCTCGTCGTCGCCCCACAGCTTCCTCGGCGTCTTCTCCCGCTGGCAACCCTCCGGCCTCCCCCTCTTCCACCTCGCCGGCCCAGCCCGGTCCGACCCCGGCCTCGTCGCCATCGCGCACGCCGGCGACTTCCTGCTCGCCCGCCTCGAGGACGACCCGGGGTGGCCGCCTCCTCCTCTCCAGAGGCAGAGGCAGATCCCTCTCCGTCTACGACCCCGTCTCTCTCTGCCGCGTCGACATAGACCGCCCGCACCACGACCCCTTTCCGGACGGCTACATCGCCGACGCCAACTGCCTGGTCGACGACGACGGCGACGCTTCCTTCCGCGTGGTCTCCCTGCAGGTAGACGATCGCCGCAGGCTGCGGGCCGTCGAGTACGACTCCAAAGCACACGGGTGGCGCTTCCACCCTTGGGCGGCGGACACCGTCACGCCGCCCCCGGCGTACCAGACGATGTACGCGGCCGGGCTCATGTTCTGGAACCACGACGGGGACACCGCCGGGGCCTCGTCGCTCTTGCTCGACACCCGCACGAGGGACTTCTCCATGCTCCCTCTCCCGGCAACCATTTCGGAGGCGGGCTCGAATACCACAAGGTACTCCATCGGAGAGACCGACGACGGCAAGTGCTGCCTTGTGTGCGTCAAGGACCGCCGGCTGCAACTGTGGCTGCTCAAGGAGAACCGTGGTGGTCGCAACCGCAATATTTGGGTGTTCGAGAAGGAAAAGCCATGGATCAAGCTGCTTGGCGGATTTTGCCAGGTGCAGCACGTCGGGAAGGTGGTCGCCGGACTGGTCATCGTTTGGGCAGGCAATCCCTCTGATGGCGGCGGGGAGTCGTTTCATCAATCATCATTATGCCATTGACATAAAGAGCCTCAGCCTCAAGGCCAAGCTTTCCGTTGTTGGAGGTGGAACGGTGGTTCATCCTTTCATACTACCATATCCGCCTGCTGGGTTCTTGACGCCTGCCACGCCACACACGCCTCAGATGGATATTTGCAAAGGTATGTATATATGTGTGTGAATCTCATTTTTCTGGTGTCTACTTACTGTCTAGATCAGCTTGCTAGGAAATATATATGTGTGTGATCAGTAGTTGCAAAAATCAATCAAATCGGTGCTTGCCATAATATTTTCAATCAAACTGGATTACGATTAGTTCTGTTAGATGGACATCGTGCATCATGCATGCATGTATGCAGAATTCTGAGAATAAAATTCTTCATCATCTAAAAATGGTTGGGCTGGTAATTCCTAAACTGAATTGACAATATATAGTACTCCCTATGTAAACTAATATAAGATCTTAGTATTAGTTTACAAGGGAGCACCAGCTGCAATGACAGTATATATAATGAATATTCTTTGGATATTTTTGGAGTGGATCGAATTTTGAGCAGAAAACTAACATGTTTACTGCATGTGCTTCATTAACATTTGCAGATAATGAGACGCAACAAGAACCGTCTTCTTCCAGGAAACGTAGGAACGCCCTCCCGCCCACCCTTGAGCTCCTTCAGCCGCCCATCATCACCATCTCCGACGACGCTAGCACCGTGGCGGCCTCCGCTGCTCCCAGAGCCGCCGCGCCCTCTCCTTGCCGCAGCTCGCGCATCCAGAAGTTATACAACGGGGCATGTGTTGGCTCCATTGGGCGCTTCTCCAAGCGCAAAGCCGCTGTTAGCTCCTCTGACAGCGGGATGGTGAACCGCTCATGCTCCTCCTCCTCCAGGCGGAAGAAGACCAAGGTTCAGCACGCGGCTTCCAATGCTGCGACCTGAACATCGACGCCATCCTCACTGGTGCGTCTCAGAGCTCTTCGGCGGGCATCCGCGACTGCTCGGACTCTTCTGCATCCTCCAGGTCAACCCCATGGCTAGCCGTCACCACTGCGATCACTCATTTGAGGTTGTTGCATTATGCATGCATTTCAGGAGAATCAAGTCTTTTGGCTTCAGTCTCTTCCGTCAGGTCATGTTTAATCAGTGTCAGGTTTCATGTTTAAGTAGTGTCAGGTTTCAGTTAAGCTTTCTCTTAGAGAAACCCTCTGCATGTGCTGGCCAGCCGCACTTCACGCGCTTGTATCTGCATCCTTTGCATCGTATCCAAGTGTTATTCATCCGCGCTTCAATCGCTTGAATCTGCATCCATGCACGCTCTGCCAAGTTCAGTTTCGGATCAACGTGCAAATTTTGACATGAAAAGTCCAGGCGTCGTCGTATTAATTGGGCTATGATGGATGGAAAGCTTCAACAGCTGGATCAGACACCATGTGATGGATGATATTTGATATTGCTAACCGCAGCTTCACATGGTCGAATGAGAGACGTGAGCCAACACTAGTAAAGTTGCACACTGGACAGGGTTTTAGTTAACGCTAACCGAAAGCTGAGCTTTCTTCAGACTACAGCCACAGCAATTGCAGCAACAACTTCTGACCACACTCCCGTACGTCGCAGTAGATTTCAACAAGGAAACACCCAAGAGGAGAGTGGATGTCCTGCACGCAGCGCATCCACGGCTGCGCGTTCGCGTGGTGATGCGTGCAGGTTGATTTGCAAAACGGGTAAAGCGGAGATACATCGCTGATACAGATAAATACACTGCCTCTCGTCCGTGCAGTGGGCTCGGGCCGTTGTACCTTCTGACATGGGAGAGGGACGTGTTTTTCTGCTCCACGGGCCCGGTGGTTGTGCCAGCCGTAGATGCGCTGCGTGCAGCGATGGACTTCTCCACCCAAGAGCAAACTCTTGAGGTTTGAGAATCATTGGCTTGAGATTGAGGAGGTAAGACCGTAAGAGAGATTGTTTCAAATGGGTGATGGGCGTTCCTCCCTGATCGGTTTCAAAATGACAAGGATCAGGGCTGCTATTCGAAAGTGTCTGGAGAAATGTCAACTGCATCCAAGGGAAATCCAGGGCCGGGCACTTACATCAATGTAAGCTCCTTGCGATTCGGCACAATCAGTACTGATAATTGTTGCTGGCTTCGTTTTATGATGAAATGAGACCGGAGGAAACCCCTCTTTTCCAAAAAAATTTAAAATAAATACTAGAAGTAAAAATAATAATTCAGTTTGAGCAAAGAATTGCTTTCTAACAAAAGAAATACCTAAATGATAAGTGCCACACGTGTGGCATGAAGCACTCCGGCCCCGACGACGGTTTTTACAACTAAAGTTGTCATCCGAAAAGAGAACAAATCCAAAGAAAAAACAGAAACTTGCCATTCGAAAAGAAAGTTGTCATGCTTGACAACTAAAGTCGCCATCCTCGCGTCACTAAACTTGCCATAAAAAACGTTCGAAGTTGTCATGTGTTCGTGCCATAGGTGTGACACTTATCAGGGTCCAAGAAATATCATTTGGGGGAGATACGGGTACCATGTCATCAATAACCATACCTTGCTTTGCCAGTGTTTTCTGAACTTACTGAATCTTGCGCCGCAGAAAGTACCGACGAAAGCACCGCCTTGCCGATTACAAACACAGTGGAGTGGTGGCGTCACTGTTTTCATCAGGCGCGGCACCTTCTTGCCACAGATGGCAGTGAGAGAGATCATGGAAGCTTCGTGACGACAAGAGGCATGCCGAACCCAGGCTCGACGGTGAGCCGGAACAACGGCGCGTGCCGGTACCCGGGCGACGGTGCGAAGGCGAACTTGCTCAGCAGGCGCACGAGCACCACCTTCAGCTCCATCATCGCCAGGTTCTGCCCAGCACAAATTCTGGGCCCGTGCCCAAACGGCAGGTACATGTGTGACGGCTCGCACGCCGCAGCGGCGCCGTTCGCAAACCGATCAGGCCGGAACTCACCGGCGTCCTGGCCCCAAACATCCTTGTCGAGGTGCAGCATTGCTATGGCTATCTGGATGATCGTCCCCCGTGGGATGTCGAGCCCACCGAGCTTGAAGTCCTTCAGCGCTTCGCGCATAATCAATGACCCCGGAGGGTACAGCCGGAGAGTCTCCTGGATCACCATGGTGATCTGGAAAAGGAATGTAGTAATGGTTATGCCAGCTTCTCGAGACTGATTGATGCATGACGGGATGCTTTCTCACCGTTTTCAGCCGCCGGAGGACGTCGACGTCGAGCTCTGTGCCTCCACGGCACACCTCTAGAGCCTCGGCACGGGCACGGTCCTGCCACGCCGGGTGTGTGGCCAGCAACATCAGGCACCAGGTGACGGTGACGGCTGTAGTCTCGTGCCCAGCAAAGTAGATGCTCTTGCAGTTGTCGACGATGTAGTCCTCGGCGCTGCCACGGAAGCTGGCCGGACAATGGCGAGCACTATTGACAATCGAGCGGAGAAGGCCATTGTGTTTAGTCTTTATGCAATCGTCGTGTTCGCTGCTGCTGCCACGGCTGTGTTCCTTTGCGACATTCAGGATGAGTAACCGAACTTCTTGCTCCAGCTTTTGTATCTCTCGATTGGCCTTGGTCGGCAAACTCTTCCTGTAATCACGCACAAAACATTATGACTATAAGTTTCACTTTTTACCCCTTGAGACAGATTTTCCCCTATTTAACATATCTTGCCACATTTTAATCATTAGTACTGAACTTGTGACATTATGTCCCCGAACTGAAAAGCTAGATCCACTTGTTAGGAAGACATGGTATCTCACTACTCGTAGAAGATATATATATACCAAATTATGAAAAATCCCTCTGGTTCAGTCAAGTTCTATGAAAAATTGTGTTAGTTTTGCTGAATAGGTACTGCTAGCTGCACGGCTGCACCACACTGCTCATGCCCCATATCAGAATGAGAGTGGTTTTTGTTAGGAAATATGCAACTTGTATTCCCATGAGGCCATAGGCCGATATATATACATGTACAGGTGTGGAACATATGCAGGAAACCCCTTATACAACGGGATAAATACAAAGGGGTACATGACTTATATTATAACTCTAACACCCCCCCTCAAACTCATGGTGGATGAACAACACTGAGTTTGGAGAGATAAAAGCCATGTTGTGCTCTAGTCTGGGCCTTCGTCAGGAAATCCGCCAACTGTAACTCAGAAGGCACATACTGAAGAGCAATAACCTGATCCTGCACACCAGCGCGCACATAGAAAGCATCAACACCAATATGCTTGGTGAGCTCATGCTTCACAGGATCGCGCGCAATGCTAATAGCACCTGTACTGTCAGATAAGAGCAGAGTCGGTGTAGTGACAGAAACACCAAAATCCTGAAGTAACCACCGTAACCAAGTCACCTCTGCCGTCAAAAGAGCCATTGCTCGCAACTCAGCCTCGGCACTCGAAGGGGAAACTGCAATCTGTTTCTTCGTCTTCCAGGCAATGAGAGAACCACCAAGAAAAACACAGTAAGCAGAAAGTGAACAGCGATCTGAGGGATCACTAGCCCACGTAGCATCCGAATAGGCCTGAAGCTGTAAAGAACTGGAGCGAGGAAAGAATAGACGGTGAGAGATCGTGCCCCGAAGATATCGAAGAACACGACGGAGATGACTATAGTGAACCGATGTGGGAGCAGAGACGAACTGACTCAGAATATGAACCGGATAAGAGATGTCCGGACGAGTGACAGCTAGATAGACAAGACTGCCAACAAGATGACGATAACGCGTCGGGTCAGGGAGAGGATCACCATCAGTAGCACGGAGGTGAAGATTGAGCTCCATAGGAGTCTCAACAATGCGCTCGTCAGTAAGAGCAGCACGAGCAAGAATATCCTGGATATACTTTTCCTGGAATATAAAAAAGCCATCAGAGGTAGAAGAGACTTCAATCCCAAGAAAGTAGCGAAGAGGTCCAAGATCAGACATAAGAAACTGCTCACTAAGACGAGCCTTTACAAAGGCAATATACTCAGGGTCGTCGCCAGTGATGATCATGTCATCAACATAGAGAAGAAGAAGAGTCCGACCACGAGTGGAAATGTGGACAAACAACGCTGGATCATGATCACTCGCTGAAAAACCAGCGGCAGTCACCACAGAGGCAAAACGCTCAAACCAGGCGCGAGGGGCTTGCTTAAGGCCATAGAGAAAGCGACGAAGACGACAGACCATGCCATCAGGAACAGAATACCCAGGTGGGGGCTGCATGTATACCTCCTCACACAGCTCACCATTAAGAAAGGCATTCTTAACATCAAGCTGAGAAACAGACCAATGACGAATAGAGGCCACAGCGAGAAGTGTGCGGATAGTGGTCATATGGGCCACAGGAGCAAATGTCTCATCGGAATCACGACCATGCTCCTGCTGAAAACCACGAGCCACAAGACGAGCTTTGTAACGCTCAAGAGAACCATCAGAGCGAGTCTTAACCTTGTAGACCCACTTACAAGTGATGGGACGAACACCGGGAGGAAGAGAAACAAGATCCCACGTGCCGGTGCGCTCAAGAGCAGCAAGCTCCTCTGCCATCGCAAACTGCCATTCAGGATGAACAAGAGCATCGCGATAAGACGTAGGCTCGAGTATAGCCGAAAGAGCATATCGACTAGGAGAATAGCGGTCAGGGGAGGGCGAGGCCGAGCCCGAAGACCATAAGGCGGCTGGGATGAGGAGGACGACGCACCAGAAGTAGATGGCACGTCAGTGGATTTATCTAGAACACGTGGACGACGAGTATAATGAAAAGGAAAGGAGGGAAGAGGTGGAATCACTGGAGGTGGAGACGGGGAATGTAGCGAGGACGAAGGTGGAGAAGGGGAAGGTATCGGTGATGAAGGTGGAGATGGGAAATGTGGCGGTGATGAAGGTGGAGAAGAATCTGTAGGAGAGGATGGCGTCGGATCTGCAACAGCAGGACGAGGAATAGGAATACTGGGCACAGAGGGAGGTGTGTCAGGAAAAGTGAGGAAAGAGATATCCTCCACTGAAAAGGTTGAGGAAGATGGACGCGGGTAGAAAGGACGAGACTCATCAAAAGTTACATCCCGAGAAATACGCATCCGACGACCGATAGGATCCCAACAACGATAGCCCTTATGCTCATCACTATAGCCTAAGAAGACACACTCAACAGACTGAGCGAACAGTTTGGTGCGTTCACGAGGGGCTAGAAGAACATAGCAAACACAACCAAACAAACGAAGCGCCGATTAATCAGGAGAACGATCAAAGAGACGCTCGAAAGGAACGCCACCCTGCAAAGCAGTGGAAGGCTGAAGGTTGATGAGATAGGTGGAAGTGGAAACAGCCTATGTTTTTAAAGCGTCCCTAAGGCGACGCCTAGGCGACGCCTAGGCGTCGAAGCGCTCCCCCTCCGCTTTGGAAAATCGACCGCTTTGGGCGCCTAGGCGTCCAAAGCGCCCGCCTAGGCGTCGCCTAGGCGCCAAAGCGCCCCCCCTCCCTAAGGCGGTAAGGCGTCGCCTTAAAAACATAGGAAACAGCCTCGGCCCAAAAATGAGGTGGAAGAGAGGCGGCGATCATCAACGCACGAGCCGTCTCAAGAAGGTGACGATGCTTGCGCTCACCCACGCCATTCTGAGCATGAGCACCAGGACAAGAGAACTGAGCAAGAGTACCTTGCTCGGCAAGAACTCCACGCAACATCTTGGAGATATACTCTCCAGCAGAGTCAGCACGGAACACACGAATAGGCGTAGAGAACTGAGTGTGGACCATGGCAGCAAAATGCTTATAGATAGATAAGACCTCACTACGAGAAGACATAAAATATATCCATGTGTGCCGAGAGAAATCATCTATGAAGATAATATAGTAGCGATGACCTCCCTTCGAGTCAAAGGGAGCTGGACCCCAGACATCAGAGTGAACAAGGTCAAAAGGACGCTGAGACACAGTGTCGCTGTGAGGATAAGGTAACTGGACCTGTTTACCAAGCCGACAGCCCTGACAGTCTAAAGACACACCGCCGGAGACGGATCCAAGAAGACCACGTCGAACTAAGGATGAGAGACGAGAGCCACATAGGTGACCAAGGCGATGATGCCACTGCTGAAAAGAGCTGGTAGACAAGGCAACAGAGGAGGAGAGACTGGCGGCAGCAGCAGCGGACGGAAGATGAAGCCAGTCAAGCTCCCAGAGACCCTGAGAGTCACGACGTCGAGGACCGGCACCAAGGAGAGTACCAGTATGGCGGTCCAGAACGGAACAAGAGTCAAAGTCGAGAATGACACGACAACCAGAGTCAACAATTTGTCCACCAGAAATGAGCTGCATGGTAAGTCGGGGAACATGAGCAACATCAGGAACATGAAAAGAAGAAGTGCTAAGAATGCCTCGGCCAATAACCGGGAGAGAGGTACCATCAGCAGTAAGAACATGAACAGGAGAATCGAGAGGTCGAGTAGAGGACAGAGTGGATGAATCATGAGTCATATGAAAAGATGCTCCAGTATCAAGAATCCACGGAGATGTACCTGCTTGTGTAGAAGGTGGTCTCACAATGCCAGAAGAGTCAGCAGTAGAACCAGCAGAACCTGTCGATGGAGAACCGGAGGATGGAGCTAGCAGGCATCGAACTCGCACAATCTCCTGCTCGGTCAGGGGCGCAACTGAAGAGGTCGACGTAGATGCGCCCGACAATAGAGTCTGAGGCAACCAGCAGGGCGCGAAGTCGCGCAATCTCCTCCTCAGTGAAGTACACAGCTGAAGTAGTCGACGCAGTAGCACCGGGAGCACCGGGAGAGAAGCGGCCACCACCACCTGTGGAAGCCGCTAGATGTGGCGGTGTAGCATGACCAGTAGTATCCACACAGGCTGGTGGAGGAGACGAGGCCGTATGTAGACAAGCGCCAAGCGTCAATGGAAGACGCCTGTGCGAGGCGGAGTCGACGGAACCATATGCACCAGCACTACCAGTGAAAGTCGCGAGAGGAGTCGACGTAGAGCGACGGTCACCATGTGCAGAGGTCGGGAGAAGAGTCGCGGAGGAGTGACCAACACAACAGGCGGAAGATGCCGTAGCGGACGACGTCACAGGCTGACGAGCACCAAGCATCGAGGAAAAGCGCATATGCGAGACAGGATCAGTGTAGGGTACGCCTTCCAAAATCAGCGGACAGTGTGGAGAGGAAATTGTACCCGACGACATGATGCTTCCTTTTTTTTCTTTTTTTTTCTTTTTTTTTATCGGAAGGCAACCAGTCAAACAGCCAACACAGCGGCCGAGCAAATCAGATCGGAATCAGTAGGCGGCGGCGGAGCAGAATCAAGTGGGGGAGGCTAGTGCACCACGTCACGGGCCTTCACGGGAGGAAGATGGTGCAGCAGCCGCATGTGAACAAGCACACATTGGGATGAGACTTGTACATGCACACGTCAGGTTCAGGCGGGCCGTCACGGGCCAACAGCGAGCGGCCGGATTAGTCTGCCCGACCTTGCAGACCACGTGGCGGCTGTGGCGTCCAGAAGAAGAAGCAGCGCCCCAACACGTGCTGAGGAGGCCGGCGGGCGTGGATGCTTCAGGCCGGGGCGGCGGATCAGGACCTGGCGTGGATGGATGGGTAAGATTCCACCGGAGCAGAATAGGAGAGGAAGCAGCAGCGGCCGTCCGGGGAGAAGGAAACGGAAACGTCCGTCACGACGGGATCGAGCACGAGTTGCGGCGTGCGAAAAAAAAACCCTAGGGCTCTAATACCATGTTAGGAAATATGCAACTTGTATTCCCATGAGGCCATAGGCCGATATATATACATGTACAGGTGTGGAACATATGCAGGAAACCCCTTATACAACGGGATAAATACAAAGGGGTACATGACTTATATTATAACTCTAACAGTTTTTCTACACCCACCCTTGATGCACCCACGGTGCACCCACGCAAGAAAACATATGAAAACATTTTGAAAAAATCTGAAACTTTGTGGGAATGATCATCAACAAATGTTAGAGAGGCTTGCAAATTTTCATGGTCAAATGACATCCAGTGAGCTCTATACAAAACAGACAAAATTACTCAAATTTACTCAAAATGTAAGTGCACTGTTTGACCAATTTGTAATTTTGTTATTTTTGTACAGTTTTCCTCGGATGTCATTTGACCACCAAACTTGGCAAGCCTCTCTAACATTTGTTGATGATCATTTCCACAAAGTTTCAAAAAAATTCGAGATGTTTTGGTATGTTTTCTTGCGTGGGTGCACCGAGGTGGGGTTCAGCCACTACACCCCCGGCGATTACGAACCTGAGTTGTCCACCTAGTCAGCTGCATTGTCAGTCAAGGGAAATATAAATAGGATAAAAGCCATAACAAAGGTCACAACTGAGTAAAATGTGGCCAGGTATTTTAAAATAAAGTAACGTTGTCACAAGATTGCATCTACTGGGTAAAAAGTGGAAATCACTACTCCCTCCGTCCCATAATATAAGAACACTCTTGGGACGGAGGGAGTATTAATTTTATGACAGGACTGGACTAGACTTTGCCCTATGGAAAAGAGTTATCTTAGTTTGAGCAACCAGACTATTTTGGGGAAAAATATTTCGGATATTTACATCACAATTTCAGTGATTCCTGTCTGATGAATGAGAATGAACCTTATTTACCCTATGGAAAAGACTTATCTTATCCACTTCTTTTTTCATTTTCTTTTCACTATGTTAGATATGTATACTTACCACACTGCGGATAATCCAACAAGTGCATCTTGCTGAGAAATCGCCTTCTGAAGCTGCCTGAGCTTGTAGAATATTTCTTCCCCTGTTGCGAAATTGCTGCCAAAACATGCCCTGGCGATTACATCCGCCGAAAAACTCCGCAAATAACCATCCACATCTATCTCTCTACTCCCTCCCGTGCCGTCAAGCATACTATCCCATGCTTCTAGCAGTGGGGCAGAAGCCTCCACTATTAGTTCTATCATGACCTGCAAACATCATTCTTGCAATTATAATGACTTCTTACAGAAATTCCAACTATAATGCCGGATCATGTTCTTAGTATTTCAACTCATATTTAAGCATGAAGAAGCTGACGTCACCTTAATCTTCTCCATGAAGAACTCTTGTGCAATGATCTTTCTCTGATAGGCCCATATATTGCCATTTGCCACCAAGATGCCTTCACCGAAGAGTGGTTTGCGAGATTTCTGTATAAAAATAGGCTTTCCGAGCTCAGATGATGTGCAGTGGCTCATGTCCTTGACCATGCCAGGGTCAGAAACATACAGAATCTCCACAGCTCCTGTTGAGTAGAGGAATACCGACCCTATTCCAAATTCACAATCCAATAGCATCATCGCCATAAAAAGAATGGACTAATATAAGAAATACAGCACGAATAAGTACTGCAAATACCATTGAGATAAACCGAATAATTTTATATCAAATACTGTATATGTTCGCTAATTATATCTGGCAAAAAATTCAACTTTACTTTCCACTGGAGTGAAATTCCTTATTATAAAAATTAGTTACAAATGCACGGTCTTCATACAAAAAAGGTTCCAGCATTTTCAGTCAACAAGCCAACTACTGATCACTTCACGCATTTTGTTTTAAGGCATAGTTGAACAATATTTCATAGAACAAGACAAAAAGATCTATAGACAGACATTTAGGTCTCGTAGGAGGCCAGGTTCCAAGAGAATTATTATATCATTAACCAAAATACTACTCCCTCCGATCCATATTAATTGTTGCTGCTTTAGTATAACTTTGTACTACAATTAATATGGATAGGAGGGAGTAGTATTTTATATCGTCAGTATTCCAATGTTCAAGAGTAAATTTCGACATCAAGAGAAAGCTGTCAGGGTTCGACTCGAACCTAAACCTGAGCTTCAGTCTGAAGATGGTGTCAACTAGAAGTCGACACTAGACGGTTCAGTTAACGGCTCAGATGCAACTGGACAAAAGAGTGACCAAAGTAAGAAAGGAGAACAAACTAGATCTTATGTAGCTTAGGGTTCGTCCTTCTTCCCCTATCGTGTCCCAATTTCAATCTTGCTCAAATCCACACACAATTCGTCCCCGATCGCAACAGCAGTCCTTCGGGGCATCACAAAAGCTTATGTAGCTTTCAATTATCCGAGTTGTTCCTGACTTTTGACTTTTGGGAGACCATTTATATACCCAGCTAAGGTTGGTAAGGATGTTCCTTTGTCACTAACTACGAGCAAGAAGACAGTGCGGAACATGTAAGTGAGTATAATGTGGCTTTATCTTTTGGATGATAGGGTTGCTAGGGTGGATGCCTTACATCAATGAAATGTACAAAGCATAAATAGCAACAGAGACGAGATGCACTGCCAACAAACTGTAAAATGTAAATTTTGTGATCTCACAGTCTTATGTCACAAGAATAGAAACATCCATGGGCCATCTAATCACTAACATACTAAAAATGACTTGTAAGCAAAGAACAAGTGTTACTGTTAAAATAGACCAAACCAGAGACTATGCGTGCATGAATTGAACTTTTGACTACATACCATATGTTTCCCTCCAGATCATGAACTGAGGAAAGAGGGTGGACATGTAGTTACTGGTGTCTTGCTTCTGCGCAGGCAATGCCTCTTGTCGGATCCTCTTTATCTCCTGGGTGTTGCCATAGAGCAAAGTAGGCCTGGGACCCCTCACACCTTGCTTCCTTAGTTTCTTTCTTATCCTCTCTGGCCTCAGCCATAGTATCTCACAGATGTACAACAGAGGTAACCCAAGAAGTACAGGAAGAAGCAGAGCTAGCAGATGAAGTTTCCCCATGGCAGAGTGAGGAAGAGGGAGGACTTCTTGTCACACTATGTAATCCACAAGATTCCCATCTGTTTTAGAACTCTAGGATATAAATGCTGTTTTTGTCTTCTACAGTTTCTGATTCTTTATTATCTTGCTTTCTGATCTTGGCATCTACTGACAATATTCTGCCAAGTTGAGATTTTTATATATTAATTGATAGGCTTTTGGCTTAGCTGCCAAAGTATACTTTTAAACAAAGGAGGCAAATTTATACCTGGTCACAAAATAATAGTACTAAAAGAAACATTATTACCTAAAGGAATGGACTCTTGCATAGTTCATTAATAGGTGCAGCTCATCCTCCGCTGAACTGTGCAAAGTGGTGGGGAGAAAAGGTGACTAAACCCAGTAACAAGAACAACCAGGTGGGTGAACTCAGAAAAGTTTGAAAACCTTTTATCAACATTTTTACAGAGACAACACCAGCACCAATCACGTTCTGTCCACGGATCAAATTAGCTTTTTTTTTCTAGAAAAAACGATCAAATTCCATTTTAGCTTGTATGTCAATAAACATTTTTTTTTCAACAATCCACCACGGAGAGGTATATCAATAGCATAGAAGAAGAGGGGACACGACGCCTTTTAGCATATAACGCTAAACCAAGAGGTTAGAAACCACACCCACCATAACTACAAGTCTACAACGGCACACAGCTCACCTTGTCCAAACTCAGGCCAAGGCCACTAATGGCGAAGAGGCAGGACACAAAGCACCAAGGCCGCATCACAACCGATGTCAGATACCTCAGAAGCACGACAAAGATTTCAGACCAGACTGGGTCAACGCACCCTATGATGTGCAGTTGGGAAGAATCTGATTTCTATGAAGCAGTTGACGCCAATCGCAGCATGCAGCCTCTGTACTCTGCAGTAATCACGCCGCATTCGCCAAAGTGTATAAGTGTATTGCCTGAGCAGGAATCTGAAGATGGTGTATCAACTAGGAGAATGTCTATGAAATCAGACTGCAAATGTGACTTGACTCGATACCTAAGATGGAATCATGGAAGAGCAAGAAACCAGGGCAATAAACTGGATATCTAAAAAAATCATCATCAGGCTGATGAGCAGAGCTGTTGTGGGAATGCGTCAGTCCTCTTATAATCCCTCACTGCAAATAGCTGAAGCTTCGAAGTTACCCACAGCAAAAGGTCCAGTACAAACTAGGGAATGAACATCTCGTTGACTGGCGGTGCCGGCCAGGAACGCGTCGTTGCTAAACTGCCGACTCCGTCGATTGCGAGCACCGCGCCGACGAGAAAGAAGCAATGGGGATTAATCCAGCTTGCGGCAGATACTACAAACACATAAAGCTGCGAGAATCGTGGAGAGTGAGAGATCAATCAGCTACGAAGTTTACCAAGATGACGGGAGCAACTAAGAACGGCGACGTCGATGAGGAATCGCAGAAGGAGGGGCGGCGCTGGCGGAGGAAGACGACGCCGGAGGGACGGAGTGAGGTGAGACTGGGTTTGGGGCTTGGAGAAAAGCATAGCGGAAGTGGGCCTGCTCGAGATATCACTCTCAATCAGCACATCCCCTCGGTGGGCCGGCCACCTTTTACGACCGTTTGTCGGCTTTATAATAAAGCAAACCATCACTGATTACATTCTCCCCTAAAAAAAAATCACTGATTACATTCGAGTAGACCAATACAAAGACAGGACAAAATTACTGTTATGACCTAAAGAGCTAACAAAATCATGATTTGACCTCGTTTTCAAAAAAATAAATCGATTCTGACCTCTTTGGGAGACGCCAGGAGACACCAACATCCCTGGCGTCTGGGTTGCGAAGCAGACGCCAGCCACCCTGGCGTCTGGCCCCTGGCCCGCACTGCCCGCCTGCCCGTTGACGTGCTGACGTGATAAAGGGGCCAGACGCCAGGAACCCTGGCGTCTGGCCCTGGTAACTGGATAACTCACGGGAGAGTGTGTGGGACCCACCCCAAACACTTTCCCCAATCCACAACCCGAGCTTGAAGAACACTTGGAGCTCTCACACTCTCTCCTACCCCTCAAGCTCCCTCTCAAATCCTCTCCAAAAGGTGCATCCCTTAGGTGGATCTTTCCATCACTTTATTGCTCTTGGTAATCTCCCCCAAATCATCCAATTTTTTTTGGTTAAATCTTGTTATTTTGGTTGCATTTTATACATGTTGGTGGAACCCTAGTTCATGTTTTCTCTCTTATGTTAGTGTGAATGGCTTGGTTAACTTTGATAATATAGTGATATGCGTGGTGTGTAGTAGGAATATATGCTTGTTGAGTAGAAAGATTGGGGGTTAGGGTTAGTTAGTGATTAGGGTTAACTTTGCTTAGTATGTGTTAATTAGTGATACTTTTGTGGACATCACCAATAATTTAGTGTTGATATGATTTGGATATAATGAGATGTATTTGGATAAACACCAATTCTCATTGAAGTCTTAAATGCATTCATGTTATTTTTAGATGGAGAGACTTGTTAATGTTCATTACATGGACAAGGAGGCATTCTTGAGTAACAACGCCGACACGGGTGAGGAACCATTGATTTTTGATACAAGCCCTAGCTATGAGGATGTTGTTGCAACAGTGAGACAAGTCTTAAAGTGGATGGACACCAATGTTGATGTTAAGTTAATAGGAAGGTATGATGTTGGAGTTGGAGCCAAATCTCGCTTGAAAAGTATGCCTATCACCTCAGATTTGCATTGGGATGTATACAAGGAAAAAGTTTCCCAACCGGAAGACAAGTCACTTGAATTGTTTGTCACCAAGGTTGAATCTCATTGGTTTACCTTTGATTTGAACCGGCATGTCTCTTCCCCAATGGATGACATGAGCGAGAGGACAATGGTGCCACTTGTTGAGCATAGGGTTGTGGTTGATGCCCCCAATGCTTATCGCCAACCACGTCCCCGTGTACCATCTATTAAAGCAAATGAGGTTGAGTTGTATGCCCCCAATGCTTCTAGCCAACCACCAACTAGCCAAGCAAATGACGTTGAGGTGATTGGTAGTGACGAAGTAATTCAAGAGGATGAAAATGCTTATGATGACGACGAAGAGCAAGAGGAAGGGTTTCATGGTAATGATGTTGGTGACTTGGATGCGTACATAGCGCAAAAGGACATGGATCGTGACTTGCCTTTTAGGCGTCAATATGCGTATGACTCGGATGACGAGGGTCCAGTTGAAAAGTTGGACGAGGATGGATTCACAAAGGAGGAAAACCAAATCCACTTTGAGCTGATGGGCTTAGAAAAAAGAACTCACTTGTTTAAAGACCTCAGCCTTGCCCATAAAGTTGTTGTTGATGGTGGAATGAGAATGACGGCGATTGAGCCAACACCATGCCCGGATCCAGGAGAACCAAGGGTGGAGAATGAGGACGAGAATGCTTATTTGGAGAAAGGAGTGAAGTTTCTGAGCTTGCCTATGCTGAAGTTTTGGTTGGCTGACTATGCCATTCGGAACCATAGGCCAATTTATGTTGAGCACTCCGACATGAAGTTGCGTTACACCGTGAAGTGTGAGCAAGAAGGATGCCCATGGAAGGTTCATGCAAGAAAGCTTAAAGAAACCGAAGAATGGGTGTTAAGAAGTTGTGTTGCCACTCATAGCTGCAAACTGCCATCTAAACGACTTCGAACGACACACCGTCAACTCACATATGAGTATCTCGGATACAAATGGATGAAATACATAGGCTTTGATCCCACTGTGAAAGTGAGGTTTCTCATGCGGACGGTGAAAAAACAATTTGGTTATGAAGTCGAGTATGGGAAGGCATGGAAGGCAAACGCAAATGCTATTAGGATGTTGTATGGTGGTTATGAAGAAGCATACAACCAGCTCCCAAGGTTGTTGGCCGCGATTGCACATAAGAACCCGGGCATGTTTCATGTGGTCGAGGATCACGATGGAGTGTTCCACCGTGCCTTCTGGAGTTATGGACAATGTGTGGAGGCGTTTCAGCATTGTCGTCCGGTCTTGTCTATAGATGGCACGTTCTTGACCGGTAGATACAAGGGCACACTAAGACAACTGGGAGTGGTTCATGGATCATGTTAGGCACAATGTGATTGGGGCTAGGGAGGTATGCATCATATCGGACCGGCACCATGGCATACTCAAGGCAATGGACATTGTTATTCTAGGATTTCCAAAGCTTCACCACAGATGGTGCATGAGGCATTTCGTGGCCAACTTTTACCAGGCATGTAAGAGCAAGGATCTCAGCAAAGACCTTACCCATGTATGTGTGGCCTTCACCACCGAAGGTTTCGATGCTCAGTACAACAAACTCTTTGCAGTGGTGAACGAAGGGGGAAAAGAGTTCTTAACTAGGAATTTAAGTGAGAAGCACAAGTGGGCACACGCTCATGACGATGGTGGTAGGCGATATGGCGACGTGACGAGCAATCTGGTAGAATGTTTCAACAATGTGCTGAAGGGTGCTCGTGCATTGCCGATGACTGCAATAGTGGAGTACACTTTCTTCAAGCTTAATGAGTACTTTCAGAGGCATTCTGAAGAGACTGCAAAATGGATAGGTGAAAAAAAGGATTATCCGGAAAAGGTAGATGAATGGTTGCAGCTACAAGCAAGCAAGTCTTCACGGCAACAAGTTATCATATTCGACAGAATTGAAATGATCTATCAAATTGATGAGCCAGGTGGCACAACACGAGACGGTTTTCAATATGGTGGTGCTGCATTTGAGGTGCGTCTGAAGACTCGGTGGTGCCAGTGCGAGAGGCCTAGTAAGTATCATTGGCCATGCTCGCATTTGATAACGGCGGCGAAGGCGAGAAACATACCTGTTTGTGATGGAAAAACCGTGCGGATGCAAGAGTTCCATGTGGAAGCTACTAGGTTGACATGGGCGCCAAGATTTCACCCTTTCTTGGACCAATCACAATGGTCTGAGTACCATGGCCCTCATATTAGGCCAGACTCTCTTCTGAAGGTGGAGAC